TAAATTATATAAACACACACAGATACATGCACATACATTTACCCAAATAAATTATACAAGTACTTTATTAAATCTATTCATATTAACACTACAGAAAAATTTATGCTATGCTCTATGCAGGCTAATAATCATATCCCCAGATTACAATAGTTTCTGAATTGCAGATGCCATCATTCTGTTAAATATGATCATGGGCATTATACTGTATAAATACTACCAGTTATGATTAATCCTGCACACACAGAAGAAAAGTGATTCTTCTTTCAGATAAATAGAACAGGTTGACTGAAAAATGACATTGTAAGTTTCATTCTAAAGGTACAAGTTAGTAGAAAGTACTTCGACAAGTTGCTTTTGCTTGATATGCATTGAATGTTTTAAACTGCAGTTCAGTTCATCTTTAGTGTTTTGCCTAATCGAAATGGAGCTAAAAATACATTCATGAGATTCAATGTGTTGCTGATATAACTGCTTACAAATGTGCAAAAATGTATATGAGAGGAAGCAAAATCTACTTTCAAGAGATTTACCATCCATGCACCACAAATGCAGCACAATTATTCATCTGTATATGAAAGGCTATCATTATGTGGATGGACTTAAGTAATCAGGAAAGCAAATTTCATATGGTTTGAAAGTGTTAGAGTAATTTTTTTACTGCAGTACAGAAGTATCTTTCTCAGCAGATTCTGAAGGCAGAATGGCCTCCAGTATGAACCAAGATAGCTTCAAATATTTATCAGAAACAGATCTGTCAAAGGATTTGGGTTTATGCTATTGTCAAGTTCTGAAGAACTAAGCTGGGGATGAAGGAAAAGTTCATTGATGTTCTAGAAGGGTTTTGTTTTACCAATTAAGTTGCTTCTCAATAAGAACTTTTTGAATTTGTAAAACTGAATTTCGAGATTAGTATAGGAAGTGGCTTAAAATAAAATTGACTAATATATGTTAATCCAAGCAATCCCATTTTGAGAACAGTGATAACCAATATTTCACTGTATTATAACTGCTGAGACACATTATTAAATATTTTAAATGTATTCATATTCATTCCAGTGTCCAAAGAATGAGAAAACTATTTCCAGATAGTTTGAGAGCAGCTTCATAACTAGGATCGCTATTCTCTATAGGGAATCCCAGATAAACTTTATCTATCTAATTCTGGAGAAATTATCTGGCAAGAAAGCATGATAGTGTCTTTTTGCTTCTTTTATCTGACCAGGATCCATATATATTCTCCTGAGTTTTTCAATGTCATGTTTCTGTATGTACCATCCATCTTTTCTTGTGATTGAGGAAGTGTGTGCATATGTTTGTGTGTGAGCTATCATGGTGATTTCTCACTTATGGCCAGGATGGAGTTTAGTCTAAGATAGGGATATATTGCACCCTATCTGTGAGCTGATGAAAAATCTGTACGGTGTGGTTGTTTATGAAAGTGCCAGTTATTGGATTCTTTGACCCAGAAATTGCAAGTGCTGCTATTGAAGGAGCAAGTAAAAATTAACCTGGGACAGTTATAACTCAACATCAGCTTCAAAACAGGCAGAGTAAACTTATTAGAAAGAGACATTGGAATGCAAAGATTATTTAAGAGACATGAGGCACATTTAAGTTCATTCTAGGTGCTCCTTGAGACACTGCATTTCCAGCTTATGACAAAATAAGAAGTAGTTGCTATCTTGTTCATAGTTACCTGGAAAGTAAATTATATATGCCTAATTGCAGCGTAAGCCTTGAGATGACACCTAAATTTAATATTTCTGGATACTAGGATGATATTCTTCATTAGTATCCTTTTTACTCAAATCATTCAGGATTCCAGGGAGATGAAGGACAAATCTTCAAAGTTCAGAATTTTCTTTTTATTTATTTTTTATTTTTTATCTTTTATTTTCACTTCCAGATTCGTTTCTTAAGTAACCCAATGGAATGCTGTATTGTATTACTAATTAATCTTGATCCTCTCCCCCGCCCCCCGGTGTGGTAGTATATATAGTATGACTCTAAGAGTATTTTGCTTTTTGTCATGGACACTCAACTGCAAAGGTTATTTCATTCATAATAATGAATGATTCACATGTGTTTAATTTACTGCTTCTCAGAAAAATGCAAGAAAAGAAGTGCTATTGAATAGTTTGGGTAGGCAGTAACTACCTAGATCACAGATTGCTTTCTTTGCTTTATTTAATGTGATGTGTATTGAAAAACACCAGAACGCCATCCCAACGATGCCCTTGAAGTGATGTCCCGGTGCCTAGAGGCCGTGCAGGTCTGGATAGGGAGAAACAGGCTTCGACTCAACCCTTCCAAGACCAAGTGGATGTGGCTTCTGGCGTCCCGATATAGCCAGTTGGTGCCATCACTGGCTATTGGGGACGAGTTACTGGTCCCCACGGAGAGGGCTCACAACTTGGGCGTCCTCCTGGATGCACGGCTGTCTTTAGAAGAGCATATGACGGCCGTGGTCAGGGGGGCTTTTTATCAGGTCCGCCTGATTCGCCAGTTGCGTCCCTTTCTGGATCGGGACTCCTTACACACAGTCACTCAGGCACTTGTCACTTCCCGCCTGGACTACTGCAATGCTCTCTACATGGGGCTCCCCTTGAGGAGCACCCGGAGGCTCCAGTTGGTCCAAAATGCAGCCGCGCGGGGGATTATGGGAGCGACGGGGCGCTCCCATGTGACACCTCTCCTGCGCAAGCTGCACTGGCTTCCTGTGGTCTTCAGGGTGCACTTCAAGGTGTTGGTTACCATCTTTAAAGCGCCCCATGGTATAGGGCCGGGGTACTTACGGGACCGCCTTCTGCCGCTGATAGCCTCCCACCGGCCAGTTCACTCCCACAGAGAGGGACTCCTCAGGGTGCCGTCAGCCAGGCAATGTTGGCTAGTGACCCCCAGGGGGAGGGCCTTCTCTGTGGCAGCACCTGCCCTCTGGAACGACCTGCCCCCGGAGATACGCACGATACCAGACCTCCGGACTTTTCGTCGGGCCCTGAAAACACATCTTTTTCATCTAGCTGGGCTGGTTTGATTCCATCCCTTCAATTTTAATTTGTAATTGGTTTTGGGGGAAACAGGGTATTAAACATCTTGCAGCAGAGTTTAAATGTTGTAAAGTATATCATGAAAAGTAATTATTAATACAAATACAAAGCACCAGAGGAAAAGTTGTATCCTAGTTTTAAAGAAAAGTAGCAATTAACTCATAAGTAAATCATGTCCGGTTGATCTATCTTTCTACCAACCATTAAAAGCTTTTGTCAGTCAAGTTTGTAGATTGTCTTTTCACTAAGTCCCTTCCAATCAAACAGCAGAAATTCATACTGTGTTGCTAGTCCAGTGTGGTTAGATATGCAAATATCTGAGACAGAGGACTTGACTTGATCGCAAGGAAATGCTGCAGCTACAAATAATAGTATTCATGTTAAGACAACTACCCTCCATTGTGTGCATGGAAAATATAGCCGTAGTCTCACAAAACACAAAATAAGATTAAATGAGCTAAAAGGATTGTGCAAGATATGCAATCAGCAAAAAGAAGAAAACAATGTTAAACCATGGAAGGTCAGGCCTAAGGGAAAATGAGACAGTGACAGAAGAGGGAGAACATTAATGAGAGCTATAAATACAGACTCTGAAATGGTCTAGGAATATGTCAGTGAGCTGATTTACTATGGGATACAGATTTTGCACATTAATCTATGATGGCAAAAAACAAAACAAAACCAGAAGGAATCTGATAGCATCTTTTCTAACACATTTTAATAAACTATATTTTTGTGAGCTGCAGCTTACTCCACCAGAAGTAGAATGCTAAACTGATGTAAGATTCAAATTAGAGTGGGTGGGGGTAAAAGGGAAGGGAGGGTAGATTGGATATATAGACACAGGATTATATGTGAGTCAGATTACAAGTAACATATCACTTAACGATTATAACATGTTAAAGACCTGAGATTGCCGGCAAGTATGTGATTTCAACTATTTCTCACCCAGTGGTGGTGTAAAGGTCCTATGTTTCTAAAACAGTCCCTTTGAGGTCTGCTTGGAACGTCTTGAATGATTGAATTGCTATGATATTACTTTGTCCTTGTTTTGAGTTTTGTTGTTTCAGATTAGAAACATCTTGCAGACAAGATGTTTATTTTGCTTGGTTCTAGGATCTAGCTTTCTAGATCTTAGGGAGTTTTGTTGATATAAACTCCATTTTTTTAAAAAAATCCCATTCGTTCCAGTGGTGGAATTCAATTTTTTTTTTTACTACCGGTTCTGTGGACATGGCTTGGCGGGCTTGGCTTGGTGGGCGTGGCAGGGGAAGGATACTGAAAAATCTCCATTCCCACCACACTCCAGGGGAAGAATATTGCAAAATCACCATTTCCTCCCCATTCCAAGGGAAGGATACAGCAAAATCTCCATTCTCTCCCCACTCCAGGGGAAGGATCCTAAAAAATCTCCATTCTCTCCCCACTCCAGGGGAAGGATCCTAAAAAATCTCCATTCTCTCCCCACTCCAGGGGAAGGATATTGCAAAATCCCCATTCCTTCCCCACTCCAGGGGAAGGATATTGCAAAATCTCCATTCCCTCCCCACTCCAGGAGAAAGATACTGCAGAATCTCCATGCCCACCCCACTCTGGGACCAGCCAGAGGTGGTATTTGCCGGTTCTCCGAACAACTCAAAATTTCAGGTACTGGTTCTCCAGAATGTGTCAGAACCTGCTGAATTTCACCCCTGATTCTTTCCTAATTACTGACAGTAGTTCAAATCTATGTGCAATGAAGTGTGGGGTTTCTTTGGTCAAGCAGAAATTTAGGTTGGACAAAGGCTTTTTTTAAAAAAAAATCATTGAAGAATTCAAAAGAAGGTCTAAAGATAGCAAAGATGTTAATCAATCTTACTTTACAGTTTTCTTCTTCAGTTAAATAAGCAAGAAAGGAAAGCTAAATCCCAATATTGTGCCAAGTTGTTTCAGTTCTTTTCATTTATTCCTTAGGTCCAAGTTCTTCGGAATGCTGGAGAAGAGGTAACCCTAACTGTGTCCTTTCTCAAAAGAGCGCCTGCATTTCTGAAACTGCCCCTTAATGAAGATTGTGCATGTAAGCATAAAAAAGGTTTTGAAACAAGTATCTGCTGTTCTTAAGAACCCCTGTTTGCAATCCTACTTTAAAGACTGTTCTCAATAGTCATTGATACTTGTCAGTTGTCACAGTACAAAATTTATTACCCTTTCTTTGGAAAAGCAGGATAAACAAACAATGTTCATAAAAAAATGATCCAGTCTCTGGCCTTCTTTTGCTAGATTTGACATCTATGCAGTCACAGCTATTCTCAGTAGATTTTTTTTTTCTCTCCTGAAAATATTTCAGAAGGAGCTTTTCTCTCTATCACCTATACTTTATTACAACATGAAATGTAATCTTTGCTTGAAAAGTATGTCTTCTCGTGTGATTAAAACTTGCTGTGAGGATGGTTAGACTTTATCATTTGTCTAGAGTTCTTGCACTTTATATGCAGCTGGGGTGGTGTGGTGGGAGTCCTGATGCCACAGTGGTTAGAATGCAGTATTTCAGGCAAACTCTGTCCACTGCCAGGAGTTTGAAACCTGACTGGCTCAAAGTTGACTCAGCCTTCCATCTTTCTGAAATTGGTGAAATGAGGACCCAGATTGTTGGGTTACAAACAACTTAGAGTATGCTGTAAAGCACTATGAAGCAGTATATATGTCTAAGCCAGGGGTGAAATGTTATGGGAGTTGCTGCTGCAATCTTGCGAGACCGGCCATGAATGGAGTGTATGGGTTTTTAATGTTTTTTTTAAAACAACTTTTATGGTATATTGTTCGCATTATTTTTTGTTGTAAGCCGCCCAGAGTCCCCAGGGAGTTGGGCGGCATAGAAATGCGACAAATAAATAAATAAATAATATTGGTTCGCACCGGTTTGGGTGAACCTGTAGTAAAAAAAAGCTACTGGTTTCCAACTATCAGCTGTGCCATTCGATTTATATTCGCTATAAAGCAGGAAATCTTGCTTTCTAACAAATCTAAATCGCGCGGTACAGCTGTTCCCCCTGCTGTTCTACTTACCTTCTTAAGCCTCATTTTTCTATGTGAAGCATATGTTTGGTGTGCACTGTGCATGCATGTGCAGCATGCGTTTGGCACACACTGCGCATGCCCATGTGCAGTGTGCTTTTGGCATCCACCACACATGCATGGGCAGAGAACAAATGGCAACCCGCGGATGATTTCACCACTGATCTAAGCGCTATTGCTGTTGCTATATTTTGGTCAGCGCTCATGGGGAAGTTGAACTGGGTTTTGTCAACTCTTCAAGCAAGGCTATCTTGAAGATTTTTCAATGTGAATAGCTGGGTATTTTAAGATATAGTTCTGTTTTTTCAGGTTTCTAGTACTTAGTATTTATCTCTCAGACTGATCCAGTAGAAACAAAGAACTACAGCATGATTTAAGTCTGTGATTTATCTGCACATCAACCAGAAAATTAGTACCTGCTGTTTTATTGATTAATGCATGCTTCATATTTTTATGCCCTGAGAAAAAGATTATAGGATCAGGAAACATTTGAAACAACGGGGTAAAGCAAAATGCCCCTTTTATCCTAGAATGGCATAAACTCCAGAATACTGAGTATTTTGTTCCAAACATAACACCACTCCAAACAGCATATCCAAGTTCAGAATCTTGTAAATACTTATTAGCATACTGTATCTGGACATAAGTGGATAGTGGACCTAGAAAAATATTCTTGATACATTAAAAAAATGGATAAGATGGTTGAAGGCAGTCACTGGAATATCATTCAAAGACTTACAGTTATTACTAAAATGGGTTGATACAGACATTTATCTAAATAATCTCCCAGTAGAACCTAATTAATTAATCAATTAGCATATATGGAATATCAAATTATGTTTAAGCTTAATTATGTTTGCTCATGCAAGCCAATTGTATAGCCTACTAGACAACTCATGATCTTTGTTTAAGAACTATAATAGCTAAATAGAATGACCAAGGACAAAAATTCAATGGGAGTGGGAATGACTTCTGACTTCCCTGCAAGCTTGACATGGCCGACATACCTCTGGCATCTATGGTGGGTCTGGTCTACTTGATTTCCAGTGCCCAAAAGAGGGGCTGCTCTACCAGCCTATGGAAGGTTAGAGCAGGATTAGTCTATTGAACTTCTGGGTGTTGGGTGTGGCAGAATAGCAGTACTGAAGCTATCAAATTTACTAAATTTCAATCCCATGGGAGTCATGGGTCCTGGATATTGGAAGCATTTTGAAATTAGTCCATTTAAGATACCATGGTTCAAAAATTGTTGCCCAATGATGCACTGCTTCTTCCAGCTAAAGATTACAGTCATAAGAGTTCCAGTAGTATATAGATGTCTTGGGTAATTTAAAGTTGGGTTGTTTGAAGTTGGCAAATATCAGCAAACCCTAGTTAAAATTAACCATATTTTGCTTGAGTAAACTGAAGCTAGCATCTTCTCCCAGAATACCAGAACCCTGATACTGAAAGGCAACTCGCAAGTTATCTATACTACATGACCTTTCCCAGGCTGAGGAAGTATTTCTTCAAAGCCAGTCACCATATGCTACTATTGGCACAATTACAGGTCAGGTTTACTAACATTCTATCAATAGAACATATCTGCCCATGTGCCTCTGGAGAAATGGAAACCACCCAACTTGTGCGGTTTCACTGCAAATTTTACAGGGATCTGCATATATATTATATATACACAAAAGAAGGCTATACCAATCTTCATTCAGGTTCCAGCTATGCTATTACCAATACAGTAGCCAAATTCTAATTTCTGCAGTGAAAATGTGGCAAAATTTAGTGCAAATGTGATAAATTTTCCACTCTGGGCTTATTTTATCATTTTTTCTGTCTTATTAATATAAATTAAACTTATTTTATTTTATTCTCCTTGTTCAAGTTCTTTTAACATTACTGATCTTTGATCATAACAATAAATTGGATTTTATCTGAAACACATTTTGTCAGCATATGGACTTTGCAATTAATGATAACTAATCTGAAATGGAATGTCAACATTTCCAAATATTTTCTGGCAAGACAAGAATGAAATTTACTGCTGGTTATTCTTACATACTAAATCAAAAATTGCTGCTCTTTACAAATAAAGCCACTCCATTTTTATTACATATAACATGATAGTATACCAATCAAAATATGTCTTACATATAAAACAAATAAAGGCTTTCCTCAGGGTACACATATGACTACTTATATGGCTACTTCATGCTCTTAATGCATTTTACTTTCCTGAGTTGGTTATTTGGGAGAGGGGAAATTTAGCAGATCAGATTTGCAAGCAGATAAAATACTGGGCCTTCCAACATCATATACTGAATTTTTCGGAGTTTAAATGCACCGGAGTAGAAGACACACCTTAGTTTTTGGGAGGAAAATAAGAAAAAGGCTGATTGGTGAGTGGATTGGCTGGAATACCCCCAATCAGCTGTTTCAGAGGTGAATTTTAGCAACAGGTTCGTTGGTTATGAGCTCTGTGTCTTGCTTTTTTTTCAGCCTCTGAAAGCCTCCGAAACAGCTTCAGAAAAAAGCTTTTTTTCTGAAGCTTCTTTCAGAAGCTTTTATTCTGAAGAACTATCTGTACTCTGTCGATTTCCTTTCTTTGATATTGCTATATAGATTAACCTCTTCCAATCTGTTGGTTATTGTGTCATTCTCCATATTTGTTAGCATAGTTTGGTTAGAACCTTTACTGATTCTTCTTTTGTTGCTTGCCGTATTATTTTAGATAAAAGCCTTTCAGAGGCTTTTTTTCAGAGACTTCTTTCAGCCTCTGGAATCTCTGTTTGCGAGGCTGGGGGGGGGGGCTACATTTGGAGTATAAGATGCATCCAGATTGTCACCCTCTTTTTTGGGGGAAAAAGGTGCATCTTATACTCTGAAAAATACAGGTAATTGTAATTTTTTTTTTAAAAAAAGGAATGGTTAAAATGAATATTGCAGTAAGTTACATGAGTGTCTTACATGAAATTCTCACATCTAAGATTGTTATCATTACAATACTTTACAACATTCCACAAAACAGAGAAAATACTCTTCCTTTATCTGTTGCTGACTTCTAACCATGCTAGAAAAATGTCAGTTTTGACTAGAAAGTCTTTATAACTCAGGCATGTATTTAAATAGATTATATTTTTTATTAGGTGTCCCTAGTGATCAAAGTAGTGGCACATCCTCACCTCTGTGTGACAGTGGTTTACATCTTAACTATCATCCCAATAATACGGTAAGAGAATGATTTATGAGACTGTCAGGAACTTGAAAATGTTTTTGATTAAGAAGTATGAACACAATCTAAGAGCGTGTTAACATTTTACTTTACATGAATTGAAACGGAGGGTGCTTAAAATATGAATACGATTGGAAATGTTTTTATCCCAGTACTGGAAGTATTCAGTAAAATAGTTAATAATGAGTAGTGTTTTTACTGTTTGTTAATATACAATAGGAAACACAATAATTTGTAAAGCCAATATAAGTAAATCTTCCCCCTTAACTGTGCTAATTGGATGGGATCCGGAGGATTATGACTGTGAAAGATACCTTCAATGTTTTTTCTCAAGGTTAATATATCATAGTACTGACTGGCCCAGAGACTGAAGAAACAACAACAATCAAAATTCTTTACAGCATTATTATTCAGCAAGTTTCTAGAACAGGCTAGATGGATTCAATCAGGAACATCTTGACTTTTTTTTTCTACAACAATTCATTAATGTACCTTTTCCTGGAGCCTTTGCATTTTTTTTCACACTTTGTGAAACCAGAAACCAGAAGGTGCGCAAGTGTGTGATGTGTTTCTTTCATGGGGAATACTCAGAATTTTCTTTTTTAAATAAGGAAGGACCTCTGACACTCAGACCTGAATATCATCCCATTGATTGAAACACCTGGCTCTAATTTTCCATTCAAATTAACTATCATCCTAGATGTTCTCATGCCTTTGCCACGTACAAACATTTAGCTTTGGATCTCATTTGTTTATTGGGTTATCTTTATCTAGTTTTAGGACTTGTTTAGGTAATATTTATGTGGAAATATTGAAAATTCAAAAGGATACAGATACTTTTAAGCACCATTATATATAGTTACTCTTAAAACGGAAAACAAAGATTTTGATATGATTCAAAAATGCTGAGATTAAGACAGAATGAGTTTTGGATTCCATTAAAATATTGAACAACCAATTTATTTATTCATAATGAAATATTGATGGATTGGTTGATTCTTGGTGTTGACTCTTTACAGCTATATAAATAGATACCTTCATCATGTCCCTAAACTTAAATCACTACTGCATCTGAGTCCATCTAACTTATTGATTGTTATCTTCTCTTTCTTTCCACCTTTATCAGTAATAGATCCTTCTTTTGAGGACTAGATTTTTGCATAATATGTCAAAAGTAGGATAATTTGAACCTGGTCATTTGTTTCTCAAGTGAGAATTCTGGGATGATTTGTTTGATGATACATTTGTTTGTTTTCTTGACTGTCCACAGTATTCTCAGGAGTCTGCTTGAAAAAAGTAAAAAATATTTACTATCACTCAGTTATGTGGTGTCAAAAAGTGCTAGAATTTAATTTATCAGGGTGTACTTAACTTCAGTAGGGTATAATGAAACACAACTTGACAAAATCTAATGATATTTCAGTTGAAAGGAAAATCTAATGGCCATGCATGTTGGGCAAGAACAATGAAGCAGACTAAATATTTATTAATTATAAATACTTATTATGAAGTAAAACATCAAAGATATTTCACATCTGTTTTCAGGATACACTTTCATGTTCTTCATGGCCGACATCGTCAGGTATTAGGTGGGAAAAGAGGTGGTGTGACCTCCGATTAATTCCCCTTCTTCATTCAAGATTTTCTCAGTATCTCCCAGGATCAGATATGTGCAGGTAAGTAGATATCACCTAGTGGTGATGATGGTTGTTGATGATGATACATATGCCATTCTGTGATACACCTGTTATGAGTGGTTGGTTGATTTGGATTAACAAGTTCTACATTTCCTGTTTTTAGTCTGTACATCAATTAAATTGAATGGATGGACAAGTTGCAAAATTTCCAGTTGGCAAAGTTAAAGACAGGTTGAGATCTTGAAACATGGTCTTCCTCTATGGCTACTTAAATCCATTATATTTCTTTAGGCTAAGTGCCAAAAAGACTATTAGCTGAAGACTCTGCGTTCATTTTGCTTCAGCATATAAAGATTTTCTGTAGAATTTATAATTACTTATTACTTTGTGCCACTAAATCAATTCACAGCGTATTCTAACAGTCAGCGTAGATGTGCCAGACATAGTGATATGGAACACTTGGGTGGCTTTCCCATTCCCTTACGTTGATGGATATGTCACAGGTTATCCTTTAATTTCACTTTGATCAAATATTGTAATACAGGAATCATAAAATTATGGAGCTAAACTTCAAATCCTCTAACTCTTTCCCTGATAAATTTTTGAAAAAAATTGTCATCATCATCGTCCTCATGAAACAAAATTCAGTTCTGCCAGCCAATATGAAAGCTTTAGTTGTTTTACATTATTCAGGCTGGATTGGGTAAGAGACAATTCTTGTGATTTATTTTATTAAAGTACTATTTTTTCATATAAAATATAGTAATCGCTTTGTTTTTGTCATTGATGTATTATTATTTTCCTGTTTTATCTATACTTGTATTGAATTTTGTAATTGTAAACTTACGTACATGCTCATCACTTTATTTCTTGGGGGGGTGGAGTAAGCAATATTATAAGAATACAGATAATGAGTAAGGAACAATATAAAAAATTCTAATGTTACATCTCCCCTGGATACATAGGCCTGTAGCTTTTGCGTACCTTGCTACTTTTTCCTTTGTATAGAGCAGAGGTGGGGAACGATGGTTCCTTTATGACTTGTGGACTTCAACTCCCAGAATTCCTGAGCTGGCATGGCTGGCTCAGGAATTCTGGGAGTTGAAGTCCACAAGTCATAAAAGGGCCATCATTTCCCACACCTGGTATAGGGGAACAGCAATGGCATTCTTCCAGTTGCCAGGTAAAGATGCAGTCTTTGCATATTTGGTAAAACATCACAGGCATTCCATAATTTATATTGATTTTGACATTTCATGGCTTATCCTCACTAATCCTGAAACATTGCCATTTTTCCACCAGTCCGCTCCCACAGCGAGGGTCTCCTCATGGTGCCATTGGCCAAGTTATGTCGGCTGGCAACACCCAGGGGGAGGGCCTTCTCTGTGGGAGCCCCTGCCCTGTGGAATGAACTGCCCCCGGAAATGCATAAGATCTCCGACCTCCGTGTATTCCGCTGTGCCCTCAAGACCCTGCTGTTCCGCCAGGCCGGGCTATCAATATAATGATTTTAAATTGGGTGTTTTAAATTTGGGGTTTTAAATCTGAGCCGAAATTATTTAATAATTTTAATTATTTTTAAATTGATGTCTGTCTTTGTGCTTTTAATAGGCTGTACACCGCCCTGAGTCCTTCGGGAGAAGGGCGGTATAGAAATAAAATTATTATTATTATTATTATTATTATTATTATTATTATTATTATTATTATTATTATTTAATTTTATTTCTATACCGCCCTTCTCCCGAAGGACTCAGGGAGGTGTACAGCCTGATTAAAAGCACAAAGAGACAAAATTTAAAAATTATTAAAATTATTAAATAATTGGGTCAATTATAAACCCCCAAGTTTAAAATCCCACATTTAAAACCAATTAAAATCTTTACATTGATAGCCCGGCCTGGCGGAACAACAAGGTTTTGAGGGCACAGCGAAAGACACGGAGGTCGGAGATCTTACGCATTTCTGGGGGCAGTTCATTCCAAAGGGCAGGGGCTCCCACAGAGAAGGCCCTCCCCCCTGGGTGTCGCCAGCTGACATAATTTGGCCGATGGCACCCTGAGGAGACCCTCTCTGTGGGAGCGGACTGGCCGGTGGGAGGTTACTGGTGGCAGAAGACGGTCTCGAAGGTACCCAGGTCCAATGCCATGGAGTGCTTTAAAGGTGGTAACCAACACCTTGAATCGCACCCGGAAGACCACTGGGAGCCAGTGCAGCTCGCGCACTGATAGAATGAACATGAGGCACAATTGGTGTAAAGGATAAAGTTCCAAGGCTGGAACCAAAAAGATTGATATCACACAGAGCTATTATCAAGACACAGGTCAAGTGCTCTCCAAAGTTGAGAAATGAGAAGTCCATTACTATATAAGAGCCACAAAAGGAAAAGATAGATATAAACCCTGGAGCAATTATATATAGCTGGCTGAATTGCTGGATTCTCCAGCAGCTGATCTTTATTAGTGGGGTTTCTTGTGCCTGCAATAAAAGCACTATTTCTACCTGAACCTTGTCCTTCACTCTTTCCACTGCTAGCTCCTGAGTGCTGATTATGCTCTACAAAGAGATTTACTATTGTATCCAGGTTGAAGCTCAGACAATAGTACTGTCTTTAAAATTCTATTTGTATGGCCACTACAGAATAGAATTAGAAAACTAGAGAGCAATAAGGGGTAACACTAAACTCAGTGCAACTTTTATCTATGTAGAGTGTATAGAATTTAAATGTTATTTTTAGTTGCCTTCTATCACCAATTGCATTTTCAGTAATATTAGGAATATTAGGTAATATTCAGTAATATTAGGTAATATTTTTATTTTATTGAAGGCCTTGAAGAGCTGCAAGCATTGGGGCAAAATGAGGCTGGACCCCAGCAAGACAAAACAATCATGTATGGGAGAATGTTGCGTCAGGGTGCCAATAGTTTTTATTGTGGTTATCTGTTTCTTAAAACATTTTTATTGTTTTGTCAGCTGGCCAGGTTATGTCTCATATATGAACCACTGTATGAGTCATATAAATGGATGGATGGATGAAATGTGCTTAGTGATTATAGATGGTTTGGAATCCTTCAACGGGAACGAAAGATAAGACAAAGAATTAAAAAAGCCACATAATTCAAATGTAAATAGAAGAAAATAAATACAAATAAAATATAACTATAAAAAAATATAAGCAAACTTGCCAACCATACTTCATTCTTGCTTAAGAAGTAATTTGATATGTTTTATTTTTAGAAATAAACATTTGTTATTCAGAAATCTATGTAATATTTATGTAGAAAAGTCATAATTAAGATCCTTGCAAAAAGTATGCCTCTTTACTTGTGGAAAAATATATCACTGACGCTGTATAGATCTATAAAATTCCCCCCAAAATGTCACAGGTAACTCTGAGCCAGAATCAGCAGACTCAAACTATACCACAATGTCTGAAAAGCACCTTGTACCAGCCGTTACAGCTTCTACAATCTGCCAAACTCCTACATTTTCAAGCTTTTTGTGTAAGAAAAGCAACACTATAAGCAATTTGTATTCAGCTGGTCCTACATGATTTGCCAAGTTTTATCTCATCATATGCCATGTAAAAGTGCTAAATATAGATAGAATCATATGATAATAATAGTTTAAAAAACAGCAAGAGTTTGGTGGCTAACTTGTATTGTGAAAGTATATAAGTGAGATGGATTTGTTCTGCAATATTATTAAATTGGTAATATTAAATTGGCAGTGTTGGATTAGATCCCAAGTTAATCTATTTCATGTTTACAGGCAAAATGCATTCCAAGTAGTTGCTGTGGATGGCATTTGCAGTGGAATAATTCAGTGTTTGTCTGCTGAAGACTGTATTGACTGGCTGCAAGCAATAGCAATTAATATCTCCAATCTCACAAAGCACAATGTAAGTATATTTCTTAGAGGTTTATCATATTTCCCACATACATTTGATCCCAATTCTCATAAGTGCCTCACAGGCCAAGTGCCGAGTTTTATGTGCATCAACTCTGCTTAAAACTTCCCCAGAGAAACCTACTCAAGTCTATTACCAACTAAATTCTGTGAAAATTCATTGCAAAACAAATCTTATCTTCACAATCTATTTTATGATTATTAGTATTGCTTCCTTTTTCACAATTCCAAACTAGAGCTGAAAATAAAACTAGATCAAATTTTGCTTCTTTATTTTGTAGTAATAGGAGACTGTCTCTGCTAGTAAAGTACAACACTACATGAGATAGATTCCTAGATTTATTTCCTTTACATTGTAAATTCAGAATAATGGAATAAATTTAAAAACCAGATGAGGAAGTTCATGCTGTATAAACTTTTTCAGTCAATACTATGGAATCACCAATTGAAATCAAATGTTTGCATTTGATCCGTTAGATCAGATACATTATAATGTAAATAGTTATCTTGGTTTCTCTTTAGAATAGAATAGAATATTATTAGCCAAGTGTGATTGGACACATAAGGAATTTGTCTTGGTGCATATGCTCTCAGTATACATAAAAGAAAAGATACGTTCATCAAGAATCATAAGGTACAGCACCTAATGATAGTCATAAGGTACAAATAAGCAATCAAATCATATTAGAAAACAGACAATATAAATTGTAAGGATACAAGCAACAAAGTTACAGTCATATAGTCATTAGCGGAAGGAGATGGGTGATAGGAACGATGAGAAGATTAATAGTAGTGCAGACTTAGTAAATAGTGTGACAGTGTTGAGGGAATTATTTGTTTAGCAGAGTGATGGCATTCAGGAAAAAACTGTTCTTGTATCTAGTTGTTCTGGTGCGCAGTGCTCTATAGCGTCGTTTTGAGGGTAGGAGTTGAAATAGTTTATGTCCAGGATGTGAGGGGTCTGTAAATATTTCTGATCTCTCTTCAGTGTCATCCCTATTTATTTATTTTTATCCTTTTCAATCCCTTCACTTCACTAATTCCCTACCTCTTTAGGTCTTGTTCAATATTCACAAACCAGAAATTTAGAGTCTAAACTAACTGAGTTTCAAATATTTATTTTCCCCAGTCTTTCTTGTTATAATCTTTTAAAAATGAAGTCTACTAAGTCTGTATAAAGGGAAGTATTATTTTCTATATTTTACTTCATTTATTATCAAATGTTCTCTATCTGAAAGTATTTAGAATTAATTTTAGCTGTAATGCTGGAAATCCATTGAGAAAATATGTATTTCATGGAAATGTATATTCTCTTACAAAGCACTTTATTAATACTGAAAATTTGGTGTGTTGTAGAAACATCACAAGCATATAATTTGTCTACCATATGCAAAGTTTATACTATGCAAGCCAGTTACATTATTACTTATTCATCCATATAATGCTGCCTCTATATCTGACTATACATTTCTCTATAACCTTGACAAATGGGAATAATTCTAACCTTTATGCTTATGCTAAATAATTTTATGTTATTAATTTTAACTTGTGTTCCGGGCTATTTTTGATATTCATAATAATAACTTTCTCAGTTGAATCCAGCATTTTAAACCAAATTACAATTGCCTCTGATTAACTCTGTAATTATAACTGCCAGCTGAAATGATGATGATTATCATATTGGTCCTAGAGGGTTTATTTTTGCAAGAACATAACTTATTTAGTAAGCTAACATAAATTCATAAACTGGTTAAAAAAAAATGGGAGGAGAGAAGGGAGACAATTCACTTTGATACCATTACACTAAGCATAGGAGTTTAACTGTTAAGAAACAAGTAATGATTATCTTCCTTACAATAAACCAGTAAAGATAGGATACAATAAATCATATATTTAGGAAAAAATATTAGGCAATTGGGTGACAGATGGTTCTCCTGAATTCCCCCTAACTTTTCTTTTCTGTTAGAGATTCATGCCATAACATCTGTACTATGTACCCTACATTAGCTTATTTTCTCAAATGTAATGGATAACACTATCCCAATTGTAAGACTAGGATTAAAGTATATGAAATACGGAAGAGCCTTGATAGTACAGTGGTTTAGTGCACCCTGTTATTAACACAGCTGCCTGCAATTTCTGCTGGTTCGAATCTCTCCAAGGCTCAAGGTTGACTCAGCCTTCCATCCTTTCTAAGGTAGGTGAAATGAGGACCCAGTTTGTGGGGGCAATAAGCTGACTTTATATAAAATATACAAAAGAATGAAGGCTATTGCTTAACGCATTGTAAGCCGCCCTGAGTCTCCGGAGAAGGGCGGCATATAAATCAAATTAAAAAAAAAAAAAAAGAATGTTGACATCTTATTTTTTCCTGGATAACAACTTCTCTTTGGTGTAGGATTACCAGATTTGAGCTACAAAAATATAAACAATGACTGGAAGAAAGAGACCTGTATCTCTCTGTTTTCTTTTATACTTTGGATCCCAATTAGCAATAAATATACAAACCATGACGTCTATTGGATGTCATGGATGAACTCTACTTTAGTATATTTTCCTGTTTCCCTCCAAAATGCTTGTTTGCTTTTGTAGGTGTCAGCCAAAATCCTGAGGTGAAATCAAACATGAGTGTTTATAGCAATATGAGGATAAATGTTCTTTTTCTCCTTGCACCAATGGTTTTTGTTTTGTTATCTTGTTTTGCTAGACAGTATCACAATCAAATGGGCCAAAAGATAGGAATGACTAGTAATTTCTTAACAGAATAACAGACTTGGAAGGGACCTTGGAGGTCTTCTAATCCAACTCCCTGCTCAAGTGTGAAAACCAATACCATTTCAGACAAATGGTTCCCCAATTTCTTTTTAAAAACCTCTAATGTTAGAACACCCACAACTTCTCGAATGCATTTATTATACTATAGTGAATATAACACTTGAATGCATTTAGTAGTATAATACTTGATAATACTGAAATACCTATCAGTAGAGATCTGCCAAAATGAAATGACTTCTAGGCAGTGATGAAATCTGAATTTTTTTACTACCAGTTCTGTGAGCGTGGCTTGGTGGGTGAGGTGTGGCTTGGGCATGGCAGGGGAAGGATATTGCAAAATCTTCATTCCTGCCCTACTCTGGGGCCAGCCAGAGGTGGTATTTGCCATTCTCCAAATTACTCAAAATTTCCGCTACCCATACTCCAGAACCTGTCAGAACCTGCTGGATCTCACCCCTGCTATATATGCCAGATTCCCAATAACACTGGCCTCACGAATAAAAACCTCAGAAAGAATTTCATGTCAGAGACCAGATGCTGCTACAGAAAAGGTGCACTCCCATCTATAGGGTCCCTATAGATGGAATTGTTTAGTCAAAGGAATTCAGAGTACATTAACCTGCCTAACTGAATTGTGCGGCAAATACTAACAGAGACAAGTGGTCCCTCAAGTAACCAGGCCCAAATAATTAACCTCAGTAGAAGCCTGGCACCTATTGTAGTTTGTGAAACAGAGATGTTACGTAGACATGCTGAAGCATGCACCTCACTGTCCATGCTGCTATGTACCAGACAATTTGAAGCTTCTGGGTGGTCTATGAAGGCAGCCTCATGTAAAGCAGTGAGATGACCAGGGGATAAGGGCTGCCTAATCAAGGAAAGAGGATCAGATATGATTAGATATATTTTGTATTCATCTCATTTTCACATGGTAATGTTAGCACTGTTCAACTTAACCATTTTTATATTTTTTGTTAGTATAAGATAATTTGGTTTAGGTCATTGATTGTGGTTTCACTTGATACGCAGTTAGAAGTACTTCTGTAGCTATTCAAATAAGTTGAGGTACAAAACAGGATGAACTATATTTGAATTTCATCCTTATTTGATGTTGGCAATAATACCTTTTTTCAGTATTTCAGAAGTATAAACACCATAAATTTATGGATTCTTGTTCTATTGAGAATTTCAGAATAAATAAATGAAGCTTTTGTAGGATTGAATAGTCTCAGCAGATATGTTGCTCAAAAGCCATGCCAACATATTGGTCTGGGATAAAGTTTATAAATTACCACTTAGCTTGACTCCAAGAATATTTTAGCTTGCTGATGTACAGAGTCATGGTGAGTGATTATCTGCCAGTTGATTCTGCTTTACTTCATAGCATTTCTAATGATGGCCAAAAAAAATAATAGGATAAGAAAAGACTGTCAAAGATGGGACAGAATTTCTTCTCTCTCTTTATTGTTCAGCTACATGACTCCAGAAGCTGCTGTTATTTTTAAGAGATAAGCAGCACAAAATCGTAGTGGTGCTTTCATCTAGACTGAATGGTAGATAATCTGAACAGCTGAATCTGAAAGAAGTGTAGAGTAGAAAGAAATAATTGCAGCAACCTCGGGGGAAGGACAGTAGAAGCAATAAAGTATTAGATTGTGATGTCAGAGAGAGGTTGGCTGTCAGTCTCTGATTTTCTATCTTCTGTATTATTTAATGGCCATATTCGTTTCTAAGAAGTTTACAGATTCCTTTGCAGGTATTATATGAATGCAAACCAAATAAGTTTACCTCAGTGCAGACTTCCAAATGTAGATAGTACTGACATACTAGGCATTATTATGACTAGCCATAGCAAGGACATTGTACATAATGTATGTAGAAATTGTTTATCTCCAACCTAGCTCTGATTAGTCTTGCAGGCCAGTAATGTATATTCATATATATTATGAAGTACATTAAAAATATAAACCTAAAATGAATGCCTTAAAAATATAAACCACAAATTCCCTCAACTTTGATCAATTATTAGTATGGGTGAAAGATTAAATGCTTATTTTGAAGCATAAGGGAAAGTTATTGTAAAATATCAATTGTAATCAGATGTATATCTATACATATACTCTAATAGCTTTATCTTAATTATTATTTCTGTTTGTGAAAGAACAAACGTTTTAGTGAAGCTTTTAATTAGCCTCACAATTATTGCAATGTAACCAATATCAAATGATATTAAAACGTAGGCATTTGTATATTTCTCAATCATTAGTCTAAGGATTTTCAGTTTGAAACAATCTTGGCACAAAATGTAGTTGCAAGCTGTGGTGCTGCATGAAGCAGATAGATGTGCCCCCACTGTCTTAGGCTTGTCATTTTAAATTAATTTCTACCTTCCTTCAACATCTCACCTCTTGTCAATGCCATGCTCTGAGAAAAAGATTCTTCTTCACAGCAAGATCTTCAACGCTACATTTACCAATGTACCTGGAAGGACTATACAGAGACAGTGAGATTGAAAAAGGAAAGAAAAAAGGAAGTACCTGAGGAAAGGCAACATTTTTCCCATCAAGGGAGATCAAACAAACCACAGGGAGAATAGGTTCTGTTATGAATGTGGCAAGGTAGGAAATTTAGCTAAAGATTGTCAGTTGCCTGATAAAAGAATGTTAGAGGGAAGAAGAAAATAATGTTGCTTTTCTAAAAGTGTGGAGGGATATAAAGGTATGAAACTGGGGTTGCTGTCTGCAGCTGAGAAAAGCAGCTGCAGCCAGGAAGAAATGCTTTCCACTCCCACGTCCCCAAGGATATCTTCAGCTCATTGCTTTTCTCAAAGGACAGTAAAAGTTTACAATCTCAGAAATTTGAGAGAAGATGAGCTCAGTCAGTCAATCATTCCCTTCCCCAAGACAAAAGCATGCAGGGTACTGTTGCAGATATCTGGCTAATTGAGCCATACCGGCATTTTGGGAAACAAGGTGATGTCCATAGGCAGACTCAACCCACCCAGGCCCTTAGCTTACAAAAGCCTTGGGTATGTACAAGAGAAAAGAAGAAACAAAACAAGTAGATGAGAAATCAGGAAGCAATTTCTGGAATGCACAATTACTGTATTACAGAAAGCAAGAAGGGTATTGGTGAACTGCCAGGACCACGAGCTATGGACTAAGTATTTATGTAACTGTATTATGTTGCAAGGGTTAGGATTAGGAAGATGGAGTTAGCCCAGAACGACAACCTAATGCTAGGAGAGATGTGAGCCACAATAATAAATTGTGTACAATTACCAGCTACTGTGTGATGTGACTAGTCTTTGGAAAACAAAGAATTCTCACAATGACACACTAGTGGATCTTTTAAATATTGAGTTCAGTTCAAACAGCTATTGGTAAAAATATATGAAATTCTGAGAAATGAATACACCATACTTTAGATAAAATTCAGAGCTTGTATACTTATACTTTACAACACAGCAAGGAATGCAGATTGTTGCAACATTGTGGAAAGATACCATTATGATTGACAAAGGACCAACTTTTAATATAATGGTTTCCATTTCTACTTCCAGCTAATAGGACACTGTTTTACATATATAGCGATGGCACTTAGACTTATATACTGCCCCATAGTGCTTTACAGCTCCTATGCACTGTTTACACTGACAGCATTTTACCCCAACAATCTGGATCCTCATTTTACTGACTTTGGAAGAATGGAAGCCTGAGTCAACCTTGAGGCTCTCCGGATTGAACTCTTGGCTGTGGGCAGAGTTAGCTTGCAATACTGCATTCTGACCACAGCACCAGGGTTGGGTTCTACATACCTTTACTACCAGTTCACAGCGGGGCCACACGTGTGTGCTTGCTTCACTCATGCACGTGCACGCTCTTCTGCGCATGCGCAGAAGCATTTTGATGATGTTGGGGTCGGTGGGCGGGGCCTCCCGCTGATTTTACTACCGGTTCTATAGAACTGGGGGCAACCCACCACTGCACAGCACCATTTACAGTGTGTGTATGTGTGTGTAAATACACAGAGAAAGAGAAATATATGTGCATGCATGCACACACACATTCCTATAATCAAAACATTTAAACAGAATAACCTGTTTTTGTTGTTTTAATGTTTAGTTGTTTAGAAATAGCATTCCAAAAGGAATGTTCATGCTGTCCACTGCATATTCTTTTTTATGGGAAAGAACTGTTACTTAACTTTAATTGTGGAAATAAATGTTTATGCCTAACTAATAAATAAATAAATGACATTTTTTATAGTTGTCCTTTGAACATGAAAACTCTTCCTTTAAAGCATTTATTAAGCTCCTAAACTATATAAAGTCTAAGAACAATAATAAATTTCTAGGAAAAAAATAATTTTCCTGGTGTTATATGACTTATTTTAAAAAGGTATGCTCATAAATTGTTGCCAGATCAATGATGCACTTGTAAACGTATGTGTGTGTGTGTAAACTAAGAAGAAGATATGTAAATTGAAGCAATGCTAAATTCCCCCCCCCCAATCTTATGCACTAATGGGTTGCAGAAGATAACAAGGTTATTTGGGGCACATTTTGCTTTTGTCCTTTTGCCTTATATCACACAGAGATATGTGGTTTACCAATCTGGATTGCTCCATGTAACAACCCCCACCCCCGCTCCAATCTTTGTACAAAAGCTGGATAGTTAAAAACAGGCAATAGTCTAAAAAAACATAGAGTTAGGTTCAGCTTAGTGTCTTTTCTTTTTTGTGTGTGTTATATATTTGAGTTGTTTACTTTGTACTCTTAGTTTTGTTTTGTTCTATCTGTATTCTGCCTTTCTCTGGAAGTGCCTAAGGTGAATGTATTCAGAAGTATTTTACAGTTTTCTCCAAGAAGACAGTATATTTTTAACCAGAGAATAATGTGGAGTAGAATTGCATTGTGAGCTCAATAGAGACGGTATAGAAAATACATATTGACCTAGAATGAGTTCAGATCTATTTTAGATCTCAAAAGCCAGGTGAATATCATCCTTTGGAGATTTGTTATTTTTCTCTTTTTTAAATAGTTTCTGGAAGCAGGAAGCTGGGTCACGTCTGTTATGTGATAGCGTTTTGTTAGCATTCATCTATTCAGTATTTACCTCTCAGTCTATTTTACTTTTTCTCTGAATAAAAATATAGATTTTCTTCTGATTATTGCCATACAAAATATGAGATGTTTAGAAAAAAGATTATTTAGCAGACATTTACAAAATTAAATTCATATAAAATCAAGTAAACTGAAATGATACTTTAATAGAATAATAATAATATGAGCAATAATAATGATACATTTGATAATAGGACATTTAAGTACAAAATTCAAGAATGGCACTTTGTCAATCCACCAAGATAGACCAGAGTAGGAAGCCAAGCATCTGCATATTAATTTTTATTATAAGATTATAGTAACAGGGTGTTGCAAGTCTGAATGAACTTCCCCCTTGGCTTCATGAGAACAGAGGTTGATGGTGGTCTTGAGACACTTATTAGGTTTCAGTTTTGGTCCAGACTCAGATACCTTTTATCTCACTGTTGTCTTGAATGTAGCTCTTTCCCCTGTTCCCCAAGGTTATCCCTTCTGCCCTTTGCACACCTTAAAATCATTTTTAAAACAAACAACCTATTAATATATATGTCAGTTTCACAGAGGAAGTATGTAATAATGCCATTTTGTTCCATGTGACTGAATCATAATTGAATCAATTTATTTATTAATCCATTTTTCTTTTTACTTTTATAGATTAAAAAAATCAACAGGAATTTTCCCGTAAACCAGCAGGTAAGGAATGAATATATGTTTTGAAACTTTAATTCACAGTTGTTCTATATCTGGTAAAATACAGGTAATTCTCGACTTACAACAGTTCATTTAGTGACCATTCAAAGTTACAATGGCACTGAAAAAAGTGACTTATGACCATTTTTCATACTTACAATTGTTGCAGCATCTCTGTGATCATGTGATCAAATCCAGATGCTTGGCAACTGACTCAGATTTATGATGGTTGCAGTGTCCTGGAGTCATGTGATCACCTTTTCTGACCTTCTGACAAGCAAAGTCAATGGGGAATCCAGATTCACTTAACAACCATGTTACTAACTTAACATCTGCAGTGATTCACTTAATTGTGACAAGCAAGATTGTAAAATGGGGCAAAACTCACTTAATAAATGTCTCACTGAACAACAGAAAATTTGGGCTCAATTCCTTTCCAGTAGGCATGCAATATGGCTGTTGTTGGGTAGAGAAGGGAGAGAGAGATTGAAAAACTGACTGAGATGTCATGGAATATTGAAAATGAAGATCACATGATCACAGTAGTGGCCCACCATTGAAATCTGTAACACTGAAGCAGCCTCAACTTTCCCAAAGTGCCTTCCCCCAGAGTGATGGTTCCCAGATTTTAGGAATATTTTAAAAGATAGTCCATTTGAGGTACCTTGGTTCGAAAAAAAGACCTATGAGGCATCATTTCACACAGCTAAAGGTCATAATAATGAGAGGGTGCATGTGTGTGTGTGTGTGTGTGTGTGTGTGTGTGTGTGTGTGTGTGTGTATGAAAGGCCAGTTAAAAAAAGGCCAGTTTAAAAAGAAAATTTCTATTGTATTCTGAAGGGAAAAGGCTTTATTAGACAACAAGAAGGTGACATATGAGGGCTTCTATCAGTGGTGGGTTCCGCCCGGTTCTGCCCGGTTCCGCCAAACCGGTAGCGGTAATGATATGACGTCACCGAACTGATTCTGTCCCCCTGCCCCGCTGCCTCCTGCGTTATTCTTACCTTTTATTTGGCCCCACCCTCAATCTACTGCTGCCTCCTGAGTCCCAGCTGATCGGCTAGAAGGAAAAAAGCTGTTTAAACTTTTGCCATGGGGCTTCAAAGAGCCGCTCTACAGCTGATCAGTGTTAAAAGGCAGTATGGTGGTAGACCGGTGCCTCCAAAAACAAATGAGTAGACTGGTACAGCTCTGCAAGCAGTTAAAAGCCTGGTAGACCAGTACCTCTGCTAAATCCTAAAGAATTGTCACATGACCATCAAGCCATGCCCACAAAATAAGCCACACCCACAGAACTGGTAGTAAAAAAATTTAGAACCCACCCCTGGCTTCTATATTTGGCTTGACAAATTAGGACACAAAGCACAGGTGTGTTAGTTTTCTTGGAATACATCACTCCTGAACAGCTGTTTATCAGTAACTAAAAAGGTCAGCACATGGGAGAGATGGAAGTAGTTGGAAAAGCAGTACATTTTCAACAATTATCCATATTTATGTAAGAAGCCCTTCAGAATAAAGAGACTCACAACAGCATCAAGCCTAGGTTTTGAATTATCTCTGCCTAAAGTTCTTTTTTGCACTTTGTAGAGCTTCAAATAATGTTTATTGCTGTTCCAGCATCTTGAAATTGGTGGTAAAGTTCTAACTTTAACTCTGATCAAAAGACAGTCAATGTTTTTTACATCATTTAAATTTCAGTGTCTGAGATATGACTGAAGATATGACTGAAGTATGTTTTCTTTCCTAACTTTATTTCATGCTCTTAAAAAGGGAGAAAGAAAATAGAACTTCCAAATTTCTTTTTTGAACTGAAAATTTGTTTTTGTAGGTTTTCACATTCACACTATCAGAAGATTTATGCTGATAATCTCAAAACATGTTTAAAAAAGGTTTGTCTTTAGAATAAGGCAGTGGCTTAATTATAACAACTGTAATAGCACTTTTATTTTCCTGGTATTTATTTATCAAAGGAAAAACAGGTATACTGGAAAACAACAGGAAAGCGGAACAAGCAAATATACTAAAAGTTTGTTCTAACAGTGGCCAACAAACTGTCCTATTGTCCCAGAAGATGGATCTGAGAGGGAGCCATGCTGCATCAAGGTTATTGATCACTCTAACTTCATGAATTGGTCCAACCTTTTTTGAAGCTAGTGAAGCTGGTAGCCAGCATAACAAGTCAATTAATTAATTAGGCCTGAAGTGTTGGGGTGGAGAGGAGAATGTGTCAAGAGGGAATAGACTGAAAAAACAGAGAACACATTCATAAAATACTCTTTAGGTATTTTACTAGATAAAAATAATTTTAATTTTTTATAACTGTTGATGTTCAAAATTCAAATTCTGCATTCCCAGACTGACATGTATTGAACATCTACATCTAAAAATACATTTGTCCTGCAACCATCTGTTATCAAAGAACACAGTGATCAGCCTCATTATGAAGAGGAAGGCACAAAGCTGAAACAACAATGCTAAGTATGTATAAAAACACATAGGGGAGTTGGATTCTTGCTGTTAAATTAAGCAGAAATGCACACCAGGGTGTCAATTATGCAGTGATAATTCCTGCATATTGCATTGTCAGCTGTCTGCAACTAAACATTGATTGTTTTGCATAGATGGGAGCTTGGACTGCATTTGTTATAAAGGCTTTGTTTATGAAACAATAGGATTTCTGCAAGAGATTTGGGAGTAGAACAAATGGAAAAAAATCATTACCACTTTAAATTCTCTTGAAAAGCCATAGGACATCAGTCTGTGATTCTCTGTGGGATTCCTGGAGGATTGTTACCTGCATTGTTGCTTTTCCAGACTAGTATGTAGGCATAATGACAAAAGTTCTAAACGCCTTTAGGCATTTCTCTATATTGCTGTCTCCATTACTCTTACTAAAATATGTGCAGCATAGACATAACGTTGATGGTCAGTTTCCTAATTGGACATTTCTAAACATACTTGGGAAATAGGTTCTCCGCATCTGAAGATTTCAGTACTGGAACATAGAAATGCTGTAGGAGCTGCAATGAGAGCTGTAGAACTAATTTTAGGTCATGGGTTACTGAAAGTATTACAGGTTTTCATACATACAAGTTGTATTGTTTTTCATGATAATGTATTTTTCATGATAATATATAAAAAAAAGATTTTTAGAAACATCTGATTATTGGTCATCTTTGATTATCCATTAGACACTGAGTTTATCTATAAAACCAAATAATAGACTCTTATTTATTCTTTAAGATGATTTAAAAATATTGGGGTAGAATTTCAAATCAGGCAAAACTAACAGTGAATTGTCTCCTTTAGACTGTTGCTCTTTGTAAGGCATATGTCTTATAATATATGGTGAAATGTTATAGATAGATAGATAGATAGATAGATAGATAGATAGATAGATAGATATTGAAGGATAAGTTCCAATAAAAAATGTTATGTGGAAAATTATTTTATTGCTGTATAGTTAAGCTTTTAGAAGACATTAGTGAAGAAAGATACTTTTGACATTCTTAATATAGTTTGAAAGCAATCTGGCATTATTTTGCTTTCTCCCTATATTAGAGTATTGAAATCCTGTCAAATAATAATGAATACATTCAACCCAGTGCCACAAACCTCCAAATATATAGCCTAAAATAACAGCCATGCTGTTTATTGTAGGAGCTGCAGGATAGAAAAACTATCAGTGCCTTGCGTCGAAGCAATTTAAAGTCTTACTTATTGACCAATCTGTGAAATATGGTATACATGCATCTTATAGTTTCATCTAGCTTATAGAAATTATGGACTTTAAATTTCTTAATATTTACGTTTGGTCCATATTTCTGCTGAGGCAGATTTTCTTACTGACAGTAGATGTAAGAAGTATTTACGATTAAAGAACCAACAATAATTATTTTGATAAATATAGTTAAATATTGCAGACTCCTCTATCTATGCATTTTAAGAACTTTACTTTACTTGAGATACACAATTAGGCAGTTCAAATCTTCAAAGATTGTTCACTTCAGCAAAGAATCAAAGAAGCATGCCCTCAAAGCTGATTTCTGAAGCAATGTGGGTTTTTTTATTCAACCATGCTAGGAGAATCACCCAAGTTGGTTTCCTCTGGGCTGTTTGCAGCTGTCATCACATAATGTGGCATTCCAAGAGTGGAAGAGATTTCTATATCTGTGTAGCATCTGTACATAAGTCTCTTCTAATTTTTGTGCTGGTGGAAAAGGTGAGAATTCTCTTTATAGCATTTGCTGAAAGATATAGAAATAAAGTGATGTAGAAGGCTGGATATCTCCTCACAAGAGGAAGAGCATGAACACCAGGACAATAGAAATGTACTATTGGAGAAGAAAGGCTTTGATCAAACTTTCCCCACTCAAGCGAGATGTGTTTTATATTTTGCTAAATTATGGTGATGTTAACAAGAAATCAAGCTTGCAATTGATGATTTTGAGTATCTTCTCAAAAATAAAATTGGAGAGAAACAGGAGGGAATTTTTTTAAAGCCATTATTTTAAGAAATGTGGCTTGTATAAATAAATTAATATCTTGTGCATCTCTTATTTGTCTGGAAGGGAAAGGCACAATAAATATCAAAGACTTCCATAATACAATTCCTTGATTTTTCTGGAACTGAGATAGATATTTTTCTACTTAAGGAAAATATTGATCAAAAGAAACGTTATTCAGAGTTTATTCCTTGCAGTATCCACAACTAGAGTAAATAACCTCCTTTAGCTTTTGTTTGTGACAATAGAACAGAAAGTAGTCTATGCATTTGTTCCTGGTGAAAATAAAGGTTCCTTGCACTATACCTCATGCATTCAGAGACATGCTTTTCCAAGGCAGATTGTATTGTCTCTACCTCTCCATGGTATATATTCTTCACAGAAACCAAGCTAGGTTATTTTTCTCAAATTTAACAATGTAGCGTTGCTGCTGATTTTCTGTCCTTCCAAATCAAATCCCCTTTGCTCTGCTTAAAGGCTTCCGTTGACTTTTTATAG